TCAACCAAATTTATAGTTTTATTTTTCCCACTTCTCTGATTAGGTATCAATACACCTACCTGTTCACTGCTAAATTTAAAACCATCCCGAAGGCGTCTGCGAGCCTGATTCCGCTTTCTATCATCAGTAAGATTCTCGAGAAACTCTGAGGTATACTGTCTGAGATTGCTCACACTCATCTCGGAGCTGAGATTGTATTTTTCTACGATTTTAGTTGTGATGGCGGACATGTTTGAATGTTATAATAGGTTTGTTAGGTTTTATACACTGTAAAGATTATTTTACAAATCGAAATTAATTATGCTTTTTTTCCTCCCATGCTCAGAAAAAGAGAGTATATACCTACGTACATTATCTTACATAGGATATTGTCAAAGATAGCAAAGCTATATATTTGCGAGTAATATTTTTTATTAAAAATTTTTATATTAACTTGTTTGTAGAAGCAATTACCATAGCATACCATTTTCCTGGAGTATGTTAACAGTTTTTTTCCAGTCCTCATCGGTATCGAGCCATGACGTCATAACTCCACGATCCTCGAGAGAGCGACGGATTATGTCTTCACTTATTAATCTTTCTCGCACTGTCATGTCCATATATTCTTTGGGGTCTTCTTCAGCCTCCTTTGCATAACCACACATTCTCGCATCAGTCTGCATTCTATCACGGAATGCTATGGAATCGAGCTTATCTTTTTCAGTAATAGTAACGAACTTATCTGGATCCTCGCCAAGCTCAATAGCTTTTTGCCTTAATCGTATTTCTCGTTGCTCCCTGGTTTGATATCCAAGTGGGTATGATATCTGCTGAGAAGATGAATCGGAGATTCGAGACTCTGTCTCTACTTCGTTACTGGTTTTTGGTTCATTGTTTACAGGTAAGTTGGGAGAGATTTCAGGAGATTTAGATTTATCGTCAATAGGTTCTACATATATGATCTCGGGCGGAGATATATCAGTAGAGTTAGATGGCGAAGCAACTGAATATTCTGGTTGATCTATTATTGAATCGAAGAGTTCTTGGGTCATTTTAGTAACCGGTGGGGTTGATGTATTCTTACCTTTGTCGATACGATCGGTATTTGATGAGGTGGCTTCTATTTTTTCTAGTTCGGGGGGTACGATTTCTGGAACATCGAATATAGGGATATCTGTAGAAATATGGGTATTTGAATTGTCTTGTAGAGCATCTGAAAATTCTTCTACATTAATACCTGATTCACGCAATTTACTCACGATATTTGATCGATCAAGGATATATATCCATTCTCTTTTCCCATTAATCCGTACTTGTCTGCGTTCTATACCAGTTGTTGGAAGAGTTTTTCCAAATTTTTTACTAGTAAATGAATTTTCACCATTTCTTTCACACCAAATACGGTATTCCTGGTATAAATTCGAACATATTGATTTCTCAGTACTATTTTCAGGCCAAGATGAAATATGATCGATTATGAATCGTGTCGGGTTCGGTAAGTGTTCCAGCATTGTATCTGTTTTCATTTTAATAACAGGAATATCTTGCGGATTCCAATCTGAGATATCAAGACTAAGTAAATAAGCCATAACTACATTAGGTGCATCGGGATGTTCGAGTGCTCTAGCCAAATTCTTGAAATATGTTGTATTACCTTTACAACGGGAAGATACATCAAAACACACAATACGTTGATCACCCATTTCTATTCGGAGTGGAGCATCATGATTACTTAATACCATAAATCCAGCATAATCTTTTATGACTTTCGGTTCAATACCTTTGCGCTCAATAGTTAAGTAATCTTCTGTAATAAGCGATTTGAGATGATCGTTATATTTATGCCAATCTCCACTAGACATACCTGTTTCGTTCATAACAATTAGTTTATGAGCCTGGATACAACTATTAAATCGCCCCAATATTTTTCCAAGGTCAGATGTTGCATAGAAAAGTTCTGAACCGAGGACTTTCTTACCTATAAAATCAATTAAAATATTTTTTCCACATCCTGGTAAGGAAC